TGCCTCCTCATCGTCCTAGACATGTGATTGTAGGCACACTATGTTATCCAGACCGAATTGACCATGGACCGATGATGACGATTCCTTCATCGGGCCATCCTTCTCCCTGTTCAGCCAACTGAAAGTAACACAATAGCCGGCACCTCCCGTTTGCCGTCTATGGACCAAGCTAGGACTGAACACGACGCCACATGACCCCCCTGGAGTCCCACCCCGCTCGAAATACTATTTGCTTTGCCTACGTTAGTAGATAGAGGGGTTTCTCCTTACAGAGATAGGCACGTAATGAACGATGAACGAGAGTTAGGCCGATTTGCGGTGAGAAATTCCATCTCTCGTCCGCTTTTTCTATTCTCCACGCTTTTATCTGCCGTGAAGATCCTCCAAACTTGTTAATGCACACGATGGACTTTAGGAGTACGTTACATTTAGGTTTAGATAGTGTAGCTAAGACTGAGTACTTGGTGAAAACAATGCGAGAAGTTACCTAAGATACAGTAATCAATCGTTTGTCGGGCCCCCCCAGCCAAGAGAAAGGTTCCGGTATACCTATCTAGGTGTGTGTGGATGATGTGGGCGAGGCAATGCTCGTCTTACATACTTGTAGCTGTAGTATAATTAGCGTGTGTGGAGTCAAAAACAAAGTGTGTTAAAAGGATATACATGTGTATTTCAAGGGCAAATTGCTATGGCCCCAAATTCTATCATAAGCACCAAAGACCATATTAATGACGCCGCGCAAAACTCCAACGCTGAAAACAAGAGTATTTATCGGGTCTGAAACATGGGTTGAAATCCAAGTCAAGTCCTATTATACCTCCAATCTAATTCAAGCCATAGTCGCCGTAGCCGTGACCGTGTCTGTCGTTGTGGTCGTGATCATCATGGTCTCTTTCGCGGTGACGGTTACAGTGATCATCATGGTCTCAGATGCACCAATCTGAGCTTCCCTCATACTCGCTGCGTCCAGACCATCACCATCGGCTAATCCAAGTCCAAGTCCAAGGCCAAACCCTCCATGATTGCCGTTTCCATCATCATCATCATCACCATGCCCATGGCCACCAAGTCCCGGAGGAAGAGTTGTTGAAATTATAGGAACAACATCTACTCCAGTTGGGTCACGGTCAGGGGCGGTAGTAGTCGGAGATGGTTGATCTACAGATGAACTGGGGCTGATCTCACTTGACGTCGGTGTGATAGTAAACGCGCTCGTCGACGTACTAGTATCTGGAACAGTTTGCGTGGTTGGACGTGTAATGGTGATGAATGTGGTGGAGGTAGAGCTACTGGCGGTGTCTGCTGCGCTTGTGGTGATTACAACAGACGTTTCAGTAGAAGCTGTCGTTGACGGCTCAGTCGAACTTGTAAACGTTGGTGACGCAGCCTCGGAAGAGCTAGTCGTAGAAAGCAGTGACGATGAGCTGGAATCACTGGGCGTAGCGGAGATTTCGTTTGTCTGAGTCACGGTAGGGGTGATCGTGATTGTAGTTATGGTCCCCACTTGTGAGCTAGGTGTCACGAGTATTTCACTTGTTTGGGTTACGGTAGGTGTGATTGTGAATGTCACAATACTTGCACTCGTCTGCGTCACAGAAGGCGTAGTTGTGGTTTGAGTGACGGATTCAACGTCTGAGCTGCTGGGAGCTGGTGTGCTAATGGAGGAGCCTGGGGATGTAGCAGGCGGATTTTGAGAAGCATCCTTGCTGAAACAGCCGACCAGGACACCGACAGTCGTATTCATTGGCATAGCAAGACATGACAAACCAGGGGCACAGTTGGTGATATCAAAACTACCGGCACTAGAGCACTGACCAATATTGCCGTCGATGCAAGCAACCTGGCCCGTGACACAAGCTGATTGCTCTGTTAAGTTCGCGAACAGCTTGTTATATGTGTCAGCTTGGGCGACATTGGATTTATAGACGTCAGGCGATACAGTGGTACTAGTTGGCGGCAAAGAAGTGATAACAGTGGGTATCGCGGCGTTCGGTGTCCCGGTAGGTGAGACGGAGTGTGATACAGAAGATGATTCCATACCCGAGGTGGTTGAAATAATCGCTGTGGCACTACTTCCGTTCGAACTCATCACTGGCGAGCTGCTCTGTAACGGTGTGCTCGAAGTAGTTGGCAGCGAGGTCGCGGTATCGGAACTGCTAGGTTGTATCGCTGTCGAGTTGGCCTGGGGTTTCGTTACCAATCCAGCCGTGCTAGAAGGAGGCAAAAACGGCGAAGGGGTAGGTCGTCCACTGCTGCTATTGGCAGGTACGGAAACGGACGCGCTACTCGTTGCGATAGCGGTAGAGTTGGCAACTGAAGATGTTGCAACGGACGACGTTGCAGTGGAAGATATCGCAACAACAGATGTTGCAAAAGTAGAGTTGGCAACGGACGATGTAGCAGTTTCTAGCTGCGCCGTTGTCAAATGAGACCCAGCCGCACTAGAATGAGGCAAAAATGGCGACGGGGTAGGTCGTCCACTGGTGCTGTTGGCGGGTACAGAAACGGGCACGCTACCCGCTGCGATAGTAGTAGAGCTGGCAACTGAGGATGTTGCAGCAGTAGAGTTGGCAACGGTAGATGTGGCAGGTTCTAGCTGCGCTGTTGTCGAATGGGACGTTGTCACTGCTGCCTGAGAGCTGGGGCTGGCTAGCCCTGATGTAGCACCCGGCCTGACAGTTACGGTCGAGGACGGAAAGATGCTGAGCACAGGGATTGTTGATGTTTGTCCAGGTCCAGAAGTGGTACTGCTCTCTATCAGAGTAAATGATCGAGAGATAGATGTAGAAGAGGTCGGGGCCTGAGTAGAATTAAAGCCCGAGCTCGCTAGTTGTGAAGAAATAGTAGAAGAAGATATTGATATTGATGTCGGGGTGGTAGTGGAAGAGGTAGATGAAGTCGAGACGAGGGTGGAAGTGGAAATAGTGGTTAGACTTAAAGGTTGGGTTGAGGAAGCTAGTGTCAATGTATCTGCAGATGTCATTGACGTAGAGGATTGTAGCGGCAACGAGGAGATGCCAGTCGTTGAGTTGGTGAACCTCTTGGACTGCCATGACTGTCTAACCACACCATATCGTCTCACTCTGTATAATATTAGTCAACTGTTCTCACTCCTGACCAGGATGACTGTGGATGTCTGATACATACCTTTCGCTCTGCCTCAGCGGACCGGCCGCGCAAACTCCCGACAACCAAAGAAGGTCTAAGAAGAGAAGTAATATGTGCATTTTGAAAAAAAGATTAAAAACGAAACTAAACGAGTGTTTCTGGTGTACGAAGAGAAGGAAAAAAGTCGAAGGGCCAAGAACGAAAGCCGATTGCGAAGAGAGGGAGGGGATCAAATATCACGGCTCGCGAGGCATAGGGCAACAAGAGTCATTCATATCCCGTGAAAAGGCGATAAAGAGGTGGCTCTCGGCAAAGAGGTGTCGGGTGTTCAATGAAACGAAGACAATGGCACCTATGTCCTCCGATCCAAGCGACAGGATGTATGTGGTACTTGCACGCGCAAGGGCCAACAAAGAAGAAAGAAAGTTGAAAGAAGGTACAGGTGTACCAAGAGAAACCGCCAGGGCCAGACCGACAAACAGCGAAGAGAGGGAGCGAGAGCAAGAAGGGAATAAAGAAAGCAAGCGAAACTGTCAGTAGCAAGAGTGAAGATCGTCGGGGACCGACAGAGTACAGAACGCGTGAGAGACATGGCCCATCTTGTATGAACAGACGAGAAACGCTGGTCCTGAACAAGGGGCGGTACCTAAGACGCGAGCCTCGGAGCTTCATGCGAAAGCGTTACATGGCAACATCTGAAGTTGGGATCGAGGCCCGTCGAGAGGAGCTTGGGGCTCAAGTCGCTCGACTTGGCCAATCCAAGGGCATGGCGGGCCATGTTGGCGCCATCATGTGGCGGGCATTCGTCGCTGTTGGGCTGCCAGGCACGGCCGTGCTACCGGGGCGATGGCCATTATGGGCATGTCCGCGAGAACTCGGGACGGCTAAGCGCTGCTGGACGTCGATGGAGATGGCCAAGCGAGGGTTGTTGTTTCGGAGAGCTGCACTTGAGAGACGCGCGGTAAGTGCAATTGGCCCGGCCCGTTTGGTTGTAGGGAGCAGGCGCATCGAGAGCCAATCGCTGTGCCGGAGCGGCAAGGCCTGCGACGGGCCAACGGACCGCGCGTTGATTGGCTGGTCACGAATTGTGCCTTAACGGGTTGTCCTCCAGGCGGATAATCAGCAATGACTAGCCTGTTACGGCAGCAATACGCCCCGACTACTACCCATCAGGTAACTTACCTATTCTCCTACAGACCGCCGAAGCCAAGTTCCGGCTCCTCCTCCGAGTCCTCTCCCGAAGCCTCCCAGACACAAACAACATCATCAAACCCTCATGCAAAGTTGTCACATGCCAACTGGTCGTCACCAACGGCGAAACAGCTCCCAAAATAGCCCCGGTGGGAAATCATGCCAATTATCACGAATATGTGAATGGGTAGGTAGATAACCAACTGTAACGGCCACGACCGTTGTTAGTACCTCCGTCTCATGACTACGTACGGTATACCTGCTTGTGCCCTCAACTTGAGCATCAGTCAGTGTGAGTCAGAAGTACATCAATCCCCAATGCCACGATGATTTGCGGTTCAGATCTGGCACATGTGCTCACTTTCACATGCCTGCACCTGGCATGAACCGTCGAGATCGCCAATCCGCCTCACCCTAGCCGTAAGTAACACTTATACATAATACCACGCCCATCATTTCTCGTCAGACTGTTCGAAGCCCCTTCAGCTATCAATGCAACGATTTCTCCTACGGCCCGCACTGCTGACTGTGAGCTGTCTCCCTAATTGAGAAGGCCACGACACGACACCTCTTTACAAGTTCCATGCCACGGCTCGTGTCCAAATACCTCCAAAGGGACGCGCAGATCCACAAAACCCATCAAGTCCAAAAAGATTAACGCCACAATAACTCCACTAGGCTTAGTGGCGGGCTCAAAAAGCTGGACGAACGGGGATTTGAACCCCGGACCCTTCGCAGACATTGATGAACTCCGGGTTTGAATCCCAGGACAATGCAAAGCGAATATCATACCCCTAGACCATTCGCCCTCGTACTCCGATACCGACACCTGCCGACAACGCGGTTCATCACGCTCGGTCCCGTTCCTCTCCCGTCGTAGAACCTCACGGTAGATACCGCCACGGCGGTTTTCAAACACATTAACGAGATGCTTGAAGTTGATTTCACTGCTCGCTATCGAAGCCTAGAATCTAGATGCTCTCACTCAATCCGAAAAAGACATCAATAAATCTCGATGAGCTTCTTCCATTGCCGTCGAAGCCATCCTATAACAGCGGCATCAATAAACAAGTGAACCGCTAGATAGATAGATATATAGTAGCAGCGTCACCACCAACACAAACAAGAATAAGGCATAGTATCGCAAAAGGCGGTGCGCAATCCAATAACAAGCAGCATCACGATCTACAATGAGAGAAGTCTCCCTTTCTACACCGGAAGCCCCAACACACAAAGAAAGACACAAAAGCGAGCACCGAAACGATTGAGCATTGATCGGCAACTCAAAGAGGCTGGCTCCTAGCCATCTGTAGAAAAGACCCCAATCCAGAAGAAACCCCCCTACTCAATGACCTTGCGCGCAGCAAGATCATACTTGTCCCCAGCCCGCAGGAAGTAAAATACATGATCCTTAGGCGGCACCTTCGCCGAGCTCCCCTCGCGACTCCAGAACCCGCCGTCGTAGATCGCGCAGTAGCTCGCGCCAATGACATGCGCCGTATCGCCCTCGACAATAAACGCCGTGTTCTCGTCGCACCCGAAGCCCAGCAGCTCGGGCTGGACCTTCAGGATCTCGAACATGTCGAACTGGCGCCCGCGGACCAGCACGTGCTGGTCGATCGCCACGTTGCGGAGGTATCCGAACCCGACCGTGTGGTCGCCGACAGGGATCAGGTTCGACGACGTGTCGCCGCGCGCGAGGAAGCTCCCCTGAATGCTCGCGCCCGCCGAGCTGCCGCCGATGACGCCACCCCTGTCCAGCACGGCCTGGAACGCTGCCTCGGTCTTGGTGCCCGCGTACGCGTCCACGAGGCGCCATTGTCGGCCGCCGCCGAACCAGACAGCTGACGCGTTGCGCAGCGGCGCGACGAAGTCCTCCGTGTCCGCGACCTCGGGGTCATACGTGTGCAGAACCGTCACGCTCGACGCACCCAGACGCCGGAAGTCCGGCGCGTTGGCGGCGTCCTGGTCGTACGTCTCGGCACCGTCCGCCGTGGGGATCACGACTATCGGCCCCCCTGCTGCCCGCGTGACGACTTCCTGGTAGATCGAGTCGCTAAGACTGCCGCCGCCCACCACTACTAGAGACCCATTCGTGGGGCCGACGACGGGGGCCTGGGCGCTCGCCATTGTGGACTGAGAGCCGAGGAGGAGGAGGGCCGAGAGGGTTTTGGTGAGGAGATGCATGGCCGGCTTCGCGGGAGTTCAGGCGAGCTTAGGAAAATATATAAATAATATGTGGATACTTTCCCACCGAGTCTCGAAGCACAATGGCCGATCGGTAGGTGAGGAGATGGTGTGATATGATGCGATGTGCTAGCAATGGTACCAGCAGTCCGTCGACCTAACTCATTCCCTCTCGTCCTTCGCTCTAAGTTTGCGTCGATGCATTCCCCTTTATACCCCAACGAGTCGCGAGTATCTGTCTTAACCCCCCACATTCAGTCCAGACGCTCTATAGATGGCGCCAAATAGCATCATTACGACGAGCGGTGGCCAAGAAATATAGTGAGTAGGTAATGGCGCCCTTCAGCTTCCCGGCAAGGCAGGTGATGTCTACCCGCTGCGCTTCTCCGCGTGGATAACGGTTTTTAGCCAGGTCGAGATAGCGGGTTCCGGTCTGCGCTACCGCTTGGAGAAGTATCTCCAAGGCAATTACATGCTCGTATGTGGGTATTGCGTGATGCAACCGGTAGGTTCTTGGCGATGGCGAAGCAAATCCATAGGCTAAGTGTTTTGATTGTCGAAAGAAATGGCAGACCTTCGAAGGTGTCGTTTCTCGCTACTGTGCGTCAAACACCCGGTCTATGCCGGCAAATCGTGGAGGATTCGCGGCGGGGAAGGTGGTGATCAGTATTGAATTGCAACCCGGTTAATACCTTAACGATTCGTTTGCTTTTGCATTACACCATTATAGAACAGAATCGCAAAGCGGTATGGGCAAGAAACGCGATCTCGCAGGATTGGTTAAACAGACGGCGAGAACGGAGAACTCGAGGAGTTTTCAAATCCAACCTGCCATTATAAAACGAGCTGTCAACACACCATTCGCTCCCCGAAGAGCCTACTATGATCCCACTGTCCCCCGGGAGGCAAATCGATGCTATGGTCTGTGGGCGGGCTAAACACAGACAACGAGGGCCATGCATCTCACTATAGACTCAACAGTCCGCCCAGCGAGAGCGCAACGCAGCGGCTGAAATGGTCGAAATCGTCATCTCATTAATGGCACACCGGTACCGCAAGATTGGGCGTTGGCAAGGTATATGCCAAACCAGGACGGAAGCTATTGCAAGGAGGAAGCAATCGCCAGCTTTTCACGTGGAAGATAGTATAGTATGTACATAGGCCGCCCTGCTCAACGTCTGCGTGGTGACTCGGATAGTGTAGACAGATTTATGGCGTCGATCGCTCTTATCGTTTCTTTCCCATGAAGGAACCTTCAAAGCCAGCTCGACTCTTGGTTTTCTTAACACCCTTCTTCCGGCCGGCCTTGCCCAGTAGTTTCTCATCTCGTCGCTTCCTAATGTTCTCTTCTCGCTTATTCTGTCGGTCTTTGATGCCCTTCGCGACGCCCTCCTTCCTGGCTGCCCACTCCTTAGTGCTCTTCTTCTTTGTGATTTCCTTGCGTTTGACAGCCTTTTTCAGCATTTTTTCGTCGTCCTTGATCTTCTCTCCCTCGGCCCGTCTCCTAGCAGTAAGCCAAGCCTCTTTCTCTTCAATGTCCTTTCGTTTATCTCCGTCCATCGCCTCAAGCCGTTTCTTCTGGCTCTCGAACTTGAGAAGTGCCGTCTTAGGATCCGACGGCCCCTTCTTAGGGGTTCTATTAACAACGTGTGTAAGATCGTGAGATAACTGCGATCCATCACCGAATCCAACGCGGCCAAAGGCGAAATTATGTTGTTCTTCGGAATCAATATTAGGGCTGAGAATTCCTCCTGGCGATTCACGTGCTGACGCTAGCGCCTCCTCACGTTTTCGCTCTTCTTCTAACTTAGCTTGTCGCCGCAGCTCCTTCTTATGGGCCTTGCGCTCAGCTTGCTTTTGACGGCGGGATTCTAGCAGCTCTTCCCTGGTACGTATTGGCTTCCCATCTTTGTCGGCCTTTCGGGCGTCTCGGAGAGCCTGGATTCTGGCGGCAAGACGAGCGCGTAGAGCAGCACTATCTGCGGGCACTTTTATTTGTTTAGGTTTCTCGGATGTCGTCTCAGTGGAGGAAATAGACGTTGTTATACTAGGGGCCTGACTTGTAGAATCCGCGGGGGTCCCGTTCGTATCGAAGACAGGGGACTGCGGAGTGTCAGTAGGGGATGCTGCAAATTCGGGTTCGTGGGTTTCATCAACCCCATTTGCGTGGTCCTGCTCATCCGCCTCCATTGCATCTTCTCTCGCCGACTCGACAGATTCCTGTGTAGGGTCAGACTGCGATCCGTCGCCGTTTTGTAGCGCATTCGGCCTGTCTTGCCGCTTGCCGAGTTTAATCTTGTTGACACCCTTAACGGTTCTCCGGTTGAATTCGGCCTCCTCTTCCCGCAAGCGTTGTCGCTCGGCTTTGCGTTCTTTTCGTGCTGCTTTCTTTTCTTCTTTCCGTTGTTCCTTCTCATCCAGTTCGGCTTCTTCGGCGTCCTGCTTCTGTTTCTTTTTTGCTTCCTTGGCAGTCTTCTTCTTCATGCCCTGGCGGGGCTGTTCTGCTTCGATGCCCTCAACTTCTGACCAGTCATCATCGCCGTCTTGCATTTGGTCATGTTTACGCTTCTTCCTCGCCTGCTCGTCCATGACTTCTTTGGCACTACGATTTAATGCGCTATCGGGGTCGAGCTTATTCCGTCTCGCTTCTGCAGCTTGTGCTTTGGTCTGCTTTTTCCGTTGCCACTGGTCCTATAAAAGTAGGAGATCAACAGGCGGTTCACCTGCGGAGTGCGGGGTGACGGGCGCGACAACATGTAAAGAAACAGCGGCAGGCCAGGCGTTGACTTACACTCGCATCTTCGCCATAGTACATCTTAGCTGGGATAAGCGACAGCAGGCCATCGAAGGCCTTCTGGGAGTTGAGGAGACGCTCCTAGATTCGCGGATGTCAGTGATGAAATGTCTCCACAGCGATTTTCAGTCGACACGCGACAACGAACCAAGCGGCAGGCAGGCTGGTACACACCTTGAGAGAAGAATCCTCCATCGCGATGTGGCACAGCGCAGGTTCCAGCTCGGACGGAGGGATGTGATTATACGATGTGGTGTTGACGGCTTGTTGATTAAACAAGTATCCGTCGTAGAGGATGGATGTCAACTTTTGGTTGGAGGCAGGAAAAAAACACCGTGCAGCATTTCGAGTTGGAAAAAAATGGGCGCTTGATTGGCATAGCGTGAGTGGAGTTACGGTGGCGGGCGGGTGGATTTTGCTGGCAGCCGTTGTTTTTTTAAGTGTGGAGGAGCATCGCTTCCATTGGACCATGTCACCATTCCGCCAACTGGCACATTTCTTGTCAGCTGTCATTGGATGTCCGTTGTCCGGGCTACAAACGGGCGGTAGCTAGAGGTCTCGTAGGTGCTCACGAAGATACCTGCCTGTAAGGTACAGCGGTAGCCACCGGCCAGACAAGTACCTATCCGCTGTAAAATGTATTGTAGGTACTTCATTCATTAAACATTTGCGAGTTGTGCTACCCCTGAAACAAACGGGATGTTTTGATGGTTTGCATTGTTTCCCATGGAGCAACAACTATCGGTTTGCACACGGCATGGACCGATGGAATAGATCCTCAAACGCCCGATCTAAATTATGTAAAGACTACTAGATGGTCGTGAATAC